TTTCATTTCAGATTAATGAAGAACTGGACCATCTTGCAGCTGAGTACAGCTTTGTGGAAAAGATCCAGATCGGCGAATCCTACGAAAAGCGGCCTCTGTACGTCCTGAAGGTAGGACAAAAATCACAGAATGTGGGACACAATTTGTGGGATGCTCTGAGGTGTCAGAGTTTGAAATGTTCCTGTTTGATTTTCCAGTTCAGCACTGGAGGAASCAAGCGCCCCGCGATCTGGCTGGACGCCGGAATCCATTCCCGCGAGTGGGTCACSCAGGCCAGCGCCCTGTGGATCGCCAACAAGGTTCCAGCAGCAGGAATTCACCTTTGTTTTATCCTGGGAATGTTTCCTGTCACCCCTCTGTGTTTCATTCTGTTAATCTGTGTGGCTGCCTAAATCAGGAATTGGAAAATTTGATGTCTTGTTAGAACAGCTGAGTTTAGGGAGATAAAATGCAGCGATTCGGGTGAAATTGTTACACAAATAACTGAGATATTTGAGATTGTTTTGCTGCTTTGCTTTGCTCACCCAGAAAAATGCTTTGGGGTTGTTTCCTTTCACAAAATGCCCAAACCTCCAGCTCTCTGTAAATGAGGGTTGAATTCCTGCTGGCAAGGACTGGGCCACCAGAGAGGTCACAGAATAAGCTGAGTTGGAAGGGACCCACAARGATYAAGGARTTCAACTCCTGGCCCTGCACAGAACCATCCYCAARGGTCTYCACRTGCCTGGGAGTGTTGTCCAAACAACAATTTGGAATTCCCATCCTGGCTGTTCCAGCTCAGCCTCARCCCATTCTCTGGGACAGGAAAAGAAATGGTTATGACCAGCAGATAATTGATGTTTTTTATTCCCCTGCCCCAAATTCCAGCCTCTCCTCTGTCCCAAGCAGTGAGGGATGAACATTTTGGGAAGGAAATACTCTGTTAACTCTGCTGTCTGTCCCTGCCTAGATTGCCTCTGACTATGGAACAGATGCTTCCATCACCTCCCTGCTGGACAAGATGGATCTTTTCCTGCTGCCGGTCGCCAACCCCGACGGATTTGTGTACACTCACACCTCGGTGAGTCTGAGCTCAGTGACATTCCTGCCTCTTCCTGATGGCTAAAACAGGGCTTACCTGAAACAGAGGCCAGGCAAAAAAAATAAATAAATAGAATAAAAAGCAGACAAATTTCATTACAAGTGCATTCAGGGCAAACAAAAGTCTCCTCATAAGGCTACACGCAAAAACGGACCCCGAGTCATAAGATCTTCACCTTTTATGTGTTTATGTTTTTTTTATGAACACATCAGGCCCCAATTCTCCAGTTACACATTCAGGTGATGATGTCAATCCCCCCAATTCTGCACCCCCCAATTCTCCATTGTTTACAGATTTTGGGGCCTGGCACAGTGAGGTGTCCTTGAGTTTGGGGCCTGGAGAGGGATTGTTTTGTCTAAAAATGGGAGAGCAGGAGCTCAGTACTGTGCACTAGAGAATTACAAGAACACAGATACGTGAAAAATACAGAAACTAAAAATCCTAAGGCATCATTCCAAGGAAATAATAAACATGAAGGAATTGGGCTCTGAGAGTCCATTCCTTAATGCTGTGGGCAAAGATCCTCATTACTTGTCTAACCCATCCCAAACCCCTGTAAATACTCCAGTTTTTGTAAATACATTTGAATTTTGATCTTTAACCTATCTAAACAGTCAGAAATAAACTTGGGATCAATCCCTCATGGATGGCAGCTGTTTTTGGGGAGCAGTTTTGGTTCCAGAACCCAAATTTTCTSTGTTGTAGAACCGCATGTGGAGGAAGACGCGCTCCAAGATTCCYGGCAGCGTCTGCGTCGGAGTCGATCCCAACAGGAACTGGGATGCTGGRTTTGGAGGTAGGGATAGAGCTCCTGGATCCTTTAACAGAACAGTAATTACTCTCAGGCAATTAATTAATGAGAGGAGAGGGAGAGAGAGGAAATAGTGCTGGATTTCCAGAATTTCTCCCAAAACAAGCCATGATGGAAGACTGAAGAATGCTTGGACATGAAAGAACTTGCAAGACAAATCTTCACTACATTCCCCAGTGTCACCCACTGTAACTGTCTGAAGGGATCTCCTTATTAAAAAACCTTTAATTGCCTGAGAGCACAGGATGAAAGCAGCATCGTGGAGCCATGGAATCACARAATGGTTTGGSTTGGAWGGATTAAYARATAAATATTATTTAATTCCAACCCCCTGCCATGGGCAAAGATACCKTTTCGATTGCTCCAACACTTCCAGGGATGAAGATCCCACAGCATTTCTGGGCAGTCTGTTCCAGGTTGCATCATCTAAAACACACCCCTGGAATATTCTCACTCTGTCACTGCTGTTTGAGCATTTCTCAGCACTGAAGGCCTTGCTTTGGCTGCACACAAAGCTTAGCAAAGCCCAGCTCTGTGTGGGTCAGCCCTGACCTTGCAGAAATTCCCCTTCTCACAGATTTATTCCCTCCTTGCACCGCCAGGTCCTGGTGCCAGTAACAAACCCTGCTCTGACTCCTACCACGGGCCCAGCGCCAACTCTGAGGTGGAAGTGAAATCTGTGGTGGATTTTATCAAAAATCATGGGAACTTCAAGGCTTTCCTCACCCTGCACAGTTACTCACAGCTCCTGATGTATCCCTACGGCTACAAATGCACCAGGCCAGACGACTACGCCGAGCTGGTGAGATTGAATTACTCAGCTTTGCCTCTTTCTGTGCTTTCCATCCCTTCCTTAATGACAGCATCTCAGCTGTAACAAAATCTTGGAGGCCACATGGGTCTCGCAAATGTAATTCCAAAAAAACTGGAATTATGACAATTCTATATTTATGAAAATAGAAAAAACCTCCGGAGGTCTCTGTTCTAACCCTGAGCTGAAAGGGCTTTGGAGTTGGAGACAATTTCAGTCTGAGCTTTGATTAATCCAATTGGATTTGGTTTGATATTTCTGAAAACAAATTTCACAGCTTCTTCAAGCCCATCCCAAGGTTTCCCCCAACACTCATGGGGATTTTCTTTTTCCTAACACTAAATGCAGTTCCTCTGTGGCAATTTTTGTTGCCTTTTCCCTGCTCCATGAAGAACCTGGCTCTGTTTTCCCTCCCACCTCCCTTATGTAGGTGAAGTGAGGACAAAGTTGATCCTGGAGTGTTGGAAAATCTCCAACTGCTTTGGGAATTTCTGGTGTCTCTTGAGCCTTCCTTTTTTGAGAGAAACATTGGGAGAACAGTAACAGAGCTGCTGGGAGTGAACTCACTTGAATAACACCTCCCAAAAATGCTGGGGAGGTTGTGGGTGCTGTTAGTGTGAACCATCTCCAGATCAGTTTGGGGATTTTTGGTGCAATCCCAGTGTTTGATCTTAGAAAGTTTGGCAGCTTCCTGACCTTCCCCTCATCTTCTCCTCTCCAGGAATCTCTGGGCAGAGCTGCTGCCAGTTCCATCCGCTCCCTCTACGGCACCACCTTCCAAGTGGGCACCATCTGCAAGACCATCTGTGAGTATTTGGAGTATTTGGGTTCTCAGAGCTTTTKGGGGCTGTCCCAGGATGACAATCCCTGTCCTCCCCACTGGCTCCATCCCTCTTGGAAGCCACGATGCTTCTGTATCACATCAGAGCTGAATATTCCCATCAAAACTTCATCCCTTCCCCTCAAAATATCAACAGCAGGAGAAGAGAGCTCCACCATTGCTGTGCTCACCCCTCTGGCTCCTCTCTCTTTCCCTTCCAGACCAAGCCAGTGGAGGCAGCATTGACTGGAGCTATGACAAYGGCATCAAATATTCCTTYGCCTTCGAGCTGCGYGACACGGGGCGCTACGGCTTCCTGCTGCCYGCCAACCAAATCATCCCAGCGGCCAAGGAAACCTGGCTGGGCCTGAAGAAAATCATGGAGCACGTGAGGGACAAGTCTTACTGAGAGCTGGGCTGGGATTCGGCCGTCTGGAGCACAAGGTTGTAAATCCTTGGTGTGGTGTGATGGCTGAAATGATGAAAAGGGCTGAATAAACCCCCTGTGCATTCTCCCCGTGGTGTTTGAGATGTGTCCTGTTCCTTGTGTGTGT